AGCCATGCAGCAATAAAGTTACAAGTGCATAATTTTCAAGTATTTAAAAACCTATTTTTTTTCTAAACTGAGAAGTAGTTAGACTATGAGGTAAAGGCTAAAGCAGAAACAGCAGTTTTAGCTACCCTACACAAACACAAGTGTGGATGTATGGCCAAATCCTGGGGTAGAGATGTTGAAGTCTAGAGACATTATTTAACCTTAGAAACTCACATGTGGCAAGCACTTTGCTTCCCAAACTCGGTATCTCAAAGATCCTTGGGTTTTTGTGATGGTACCTGTGCTGGATGTTGAAGACCAGCTGCTACAAGCTTTGTCTAGATGATGATCAACACTGATATGCGAAAGCATAACCTGTGTTCTGTATTCTTAAATCACCAGCTGTCTCCAGTAAATAGCGTTTCCTTTAGAATTCATTTTAAGCAATGAATGCAGACTCCCAAAAAAGCAAATACTGCGTTTTAGTTTTATAACAAATATTACATTTTGTCCACTAGCCTTATGGCTAATAAAAAATGCAGCAAGTGACATGAAAGGTCTAATGAGATGATAATCATTAGACTGCCTGCTGTATTACAGTAATTTCTAATCATGTGACATGTTGGAATTGAACCATGGCACGCTCCCCTCATGGAGTCTGAGGATAAAATATACTCTTGTACTCTGAAAAAAGCTCAAGCATCCAGCAGGCTGCACGTCCCAGCAAAAACTGCATCAGTGTTGGTAGCACAGATCTAGAGCATGGAAACACCTCAGCACCTGTTGAAGTAGTCCCATTAGAATCTCCATGCACAAATTCCATCCTCTTTGGAGCTCCACAGCCATGTGTTCTGTGGCCCAGAACACAAACAGAGAGAGGAGTTGGATGTGGGCACAAAAGCTGGCAAACATCAGATACACTGAAGTGACAAAGAAGCTCCTGGAAATTCTCAGCCTGTACAGCAGCCTTCTTCTAGCTTTCAGTGCAGGCAATGCCCTTTGCAAAGGACATCTGTGTCATTTTTCAGAGACTCACACAGCACTACTACAGAGAAACACAAGGCACATTCCCAGAAATTATCTACTTCTGCTTCGCCAGCTTGGATAGAAGTGATGGTCAAAACAGCTTTCCTGCAGCATTGTGCCATAAGACAACCTTGCATTCTTGCCTGTATTTAGTGTTTGCAGCCAGAAGCCAAAGATCACAATCCTGATGGATAAAACAAACGGCATGCGAAGCTTTAAATCTTGCAAAAAAGAAAAAGAGCCACATATTTTGCATAACAGAGTATTGCTAAATTTGCCAAATGTCTTTCCCCTAAAAATTTTTGCTATTTTAGTTGAAGATACTTTCCACATAACTTTCTACTCAGATGTGCATTAACTTCTGTTTTAAACACTCTCTTCAAGAATGAAAAATGGGGTGTTTAATATTCCCTCCAAAAACCTTACAATAGCCGTAACCTTTAAATTCAACGCTAAAAAATGACAGCATCAGACTGTTCTTCTACAGCACAACAGAGTTCAAAGAGCTGAGCACAGACAGCAGATTTTTGTTTAACTTGTATTTTGTGAGGACAAGAAGATGAAAACCATCTCTGCATAGCTACAAAAAAATGCAAATAGCAAAAATGGCTTGTCTATTTGCACTGTTAGAAAATAGGCCAAAACCTGAATAAATATAAAAACTCAGCTCTCCTTTTTTCAAGATACAGTCATTCTAGCTCAGACCACAGGTATGTCAGCTGCAGGTGAAGACTTGCTTCCCACCAGTTTTCTAAGGGCAATTAAGAATTTTAATCTTGAACTAATGAATCCTGCTACTAGTAAAAGGTTACGCAAAGTGGTAACAGAAAGCAAGAAGAATCAATGAAGCATAAAACACAATTATTTTGAATCCTCTTTCACTGCCCAAAAATGCTTTATTTCTTACTACAGTACACTAATCTTTTAGTTGAGAAAAGCCCCACTGTAGGTGGCTGGTGGGTTGGGAAGGTTAAGTGAGATTAAGTGTACTTGGTAAAAAAATGTTGAAACATTTGCCTTTCTGCTCTACCATATAAACAAAATTCCACATGGGACAAAGTAAGCAATTTCCAGCTCTGTTATGAACAAGCACAGCAGGAGTAGCATGACTCTCACTTTAAGGTGACACAAACGCGTCATCTCCCACTCCTTGTATTTACAGTGTCCAAAAACCTCGTGTTGATGGAAGCCCGCAATGAAATTTCTCTTTTAGGGCACCAAATTGCAGAATAAATCTTACATGGGGTTTGGATTCAGTCAGGAGAGCCAAAGGTACCAACGGGAGTTTGCACACTACATAGCCTGTAATGTAAAACAAAACCTTTCACTTTTCCCACACTTGGCTGAGGGATTTTTCCATGGCTGTTTGCCTTCAGATATACAGGAACTGATCTGTATCACAGGCTAATCTAAAGGAACATGTAGGAAAGCACAGTAAGACCAAAACAGAAACAAAGTCGATGCTGAGGAAGTGACATTCCACACTCTGGATGTGAAGGTGAATTGGAGGTGTGGTGCCAGACAAGCCGTAGTCTGGTCCCATGGGCTGAATGCATATTAGCTCTAGGCAGAATATTTTCCACTTTACTTTCATTCCAATTTAATCCAGCTCTCAAACTTCATTTTATGGTGCAAAGCAAGGCACAGTAGGCAGGTGCCATCAGGAGCTTCACTTCAAAAACACATTCCTGACACAAGCTGTAATGCAGATAGAACTGCAACTATCACAATTCTCTCAAGAGTATTAAGACTCTCCAGATAGAAAATAAAGGAAAGAAAAGAAACCAACCAGCATCTGACATGGCAAGAGCTCTTTTAGTTCAGCACCAAACCATCCTCTGGATTCCAACTTATATACTTGTGTTGAATCATCATGAAGGACTGTGTGGGGCTTGGTTCCTGGCTAACAAACTCAAGAGGGACACAAGTTCAGCACAGCATGCTCAGTAGCAGGTGACAGCAGAACAAGATTAAGTACCTCAATGTTTTCACAGAGAAGAGTCCAGAGAGAAGAAAGAATACAGGATACTTGCATATTCCCAGTAGTAAAAAAAAAGTCTATTCTGGAACTCCTGAAGGTAGAAGTAAAGCTGTCATGGTGCTGAGATGCCTTCTGGAGGAACATGGTCCCTAGTCATCCTCTGTACTTCTCAGGTTAAAAACAGGATTTTTGCTTTAAGTATCACAATTTATCCCACATCTGATCTTTTCTTCAAAAACGGCCCAGGCAAATTACACTTTAAACATTTCCCTATGTGTGGTTATTTCCAGCTGGCAGGTATGGGTATATGATACCATTACTTGGGAGGAACTAATTTCAAATCATGTTTAGAACAGATGTGTTAAAGTGGGTTTTCTCCATTGCAGAAAGGACCTTTTAATGTGTTGCCAGTATTTTCATAATGGTATCTTACTAAATGTTTTCCTTTAGTCCGTCACAAAATTCACATGTAAGGGATATAAATGATGCAATGAAGGGCACAAATCTGCAAAGACTAGTAATGTAGGCTATGTTTTAAATAAATTTAAGACTCACTAATTATTCTGGATGCCTTATTTGAATTACTTGCAAGGGCCTCATTTTCAAAAGGCCTGTAAAACAGACCCCTCTCAGGAATCACAAGTTTGGCCAGGCACACTTTGAAGAAAGCCAGTACTGAACATAAGTTAATACAGTATTTGCATACATATCCACTTAAAGCAGGACACCACAAAGAAGTCAGGAACATTTTCTTCTGAGAAGCATTAGTAAAAAGGCACAGTCACTGGGACACTAGTCTTTCATCCAAAAACAAGTGTATTCTGTAGAAGCTCGTATACAAGCTCCTCAGGTTAAAAAAATAGACAACAGGTATGATATGTCCAGACAGGACAATCTTCTCTTTTTGCTTTGGTAACATAATTTTAAGCAGGGGTCTCAGAAACCTCTTAAAGAACATTACTGCCATCCAGCAAGCCACTTCAGCTGACAGAGTGCTGCTGACAGGTTCTCTTCATTCAGAAAGCTGATAATCTAACCTTCAGCCCTCAGTAAAGTCTAAGTCACAGCACCGAGTCACATTACAGCGTGCACCCCAGAAACAGAAGAAACGAGAAATTTCTCATTACTACACCATCTTCAAGTAAAGCTTCTGAAACAGGGTGGCAGAAAATCTTTTGAAAGAAGAAAATACAGACCTGATGCACTGCATTTTACTGCAGCTGTTGAGTGAAAAAAATTTTGAGAGGACGTCAAAAATAAAACATTTGCTGTGTGGTCTTGCCTCAAATTGTTACCTATAAGTCATCTAGTTCAGAGGTACCAAAGCATGACAAAACTATTTGTCAGACACCTTTTTTGCATTTTGGGGGGAAGAAGGAGAGCAAAAGAGAAAAATACCTTCTCCAAAGCTAATCTGACAGTGAAAGCTTGGCTTTAGGGTAGATCCTCTCTGTTTACCCAGAAAAGTAAACATTCTCTGCCTGCACAGATTTTGCCTTTCCCTGCAAGAAGGGCAACGGCTGATGCCCATAGGGCTCATCTCAGCTGTTTCCTAGCTTGCTGGTTAACATCTTGTACACAATGCCTGGTTTTGGCCAGTTTATGGAATATGTACACACAAAGTTACAAGTGCCTCAGAGGTCTGGGGAGCTGCCACACTGTAAGAACAGAAACTGCAGAGGCAGGAAGCCTGTTAAAAGAGTGATTAGCAGTATGGGTCAAGTATATAAGGCACTTCTAACATGTATGTTGTCCAGAAGACTGTGCATTGAGATGAAACGCAAGCCTTATTTTGCAGCACAGTTACACTTGCAGGCATTGCTCTCTTCCTCAGTATCGGAGGTGGCACCAACACCTCAGGAGGACCAGGCTGGGTGGGACAGGGTGGGGCTCTTACACATGATGTTTTCCATGCAGAAGCAGAGAACCTGATCCTTTGAATCATATGGGAAACCATTCTCCACCGAAACACACGCATACAAACACCAGGGCAAAGAATTGAAGTGGTACTTACGCGGCATGATCCCTTGGCTCACCAGCTCCTCCCGCGTGCGTCGCTGCTGGAGCTTCAACTGCAGCACTGCACGACAGCAGAGAGAAAGGAGAGAAGGAAACCCATCAGTGCAAGGAACAACTGAAGAGACATTTTCAAACGCATCTTGTTTTCTTCTGTGGATGCCAAGGCAGCGGTGAGCAGCAGAAGGAAAAGACCCCCCTCCCACTCTGCTGCCCTGCCCCGCTGCAATTGCAGAAGTGGCCCCCAGCAGTCAGGTTTCCGTAGGCTGCTGCAGCCAGGGGGAGAGGAAGTTGCGCAGGGTCTTGGCAGGGTGATAAAAATCCACAAAGCCAGGCCTGTTTCTCAGTTCTTTCTAGAGCACCAAGTGCTTTCCAAACCATTAATATTAAAAAACAAACAAAGAGAAACACCAGCTGACAGTCCTCCAATAAACACAGAGTGACACCCCAGCTGCTAATGACTCCTGAAAACTCTAATTACTATGTGCAGATTAAATGATATGTCAAAATTGTTGGTCGTTACTCTAAATTACAAGGCTGATTTCCTTCCTCAGCTCAGAAATTCACCTTCAGAAACATCTCATGAAAGTGAAACACCACGGATACACCTAGATGTGTCCTTTCACCACAAAAGGAATCCCCTCATCACTAGAATTTTTCCTATTTATTTTATCATAACAGAACATATTTGTGACCTGTATGAAATGCAATTAGCTGGGGTTTTTTCTAGTGCAAATCCCCGGAATAGTCATAATTTTAACATTGAGATTATAACAGCAGTTTCCCTTTAAACTATAAAATCAAAGCAACATTCTAGATTGCTCTTACAGTCAAAGCCACCTTCCATATGAAAGCAACTTTTCAAAACTGAAGACAAATTCCCCTGAATGTGTAGTCACACACGTCTCAAAATAGGACAGCCTGAGTATCACTGAATCCCACCTGCAATCAAGCCCAAACTCCTAGGTATACTCAACATAAAATATTGTAAAATGAATGGCAATGCATCTCATCTCCCCTGTTTTAATTTTAATTTCTCTTATGTTTTTTTATAGTCCACATTATGAAATTCCACACAAATGTAGTGGAACCACTACAGAGAAAAACTGCTCTACAGTCTAACTATTCAATCTCATTATAACCCTTATGTCTCCCTTCTTAAGTATTTTGTTTGTCCAGCACATTAATTTCATACATTATATCCAAATTTGTACTGTACACTCCATAGAGTAGAGATCAAAAACTTTTAGAAGATGCCACTTTGTCTACCTACAGACATCATGACATTTTACCTGTTTCTTTCCATCTCCTATCTGCAGTTTGCATTTGAGTAAGATACATCTTCCAATATGGGTTCTGGTCTTCATATGCACAGAAAAAGAGATCCATCTCTTCCTTTCTATGGTTGTTTCCATAGCACCTAATCACCCTCACTTAAATCACACTTAATTTTCTTCTGGGATTTTTCTGGCTTCCACTTCCATTGACTCTTGATGTACCTTTCCCTGAAACTGTTTGTGACAGTGACAGGAGTACCTCCTACCAGTGGAAAAACCTCTGTGCACACAGCGTGCAAAAAAGTTACCTCTCTTCTGTTTCTTAAGACAAACTATGATTTCTTAATATATGCGTCCTGGGCAGGAAACTACTTTCTTTTAGCACATGGAAGTGAGAGAGGGGAGGAGGATGTACAGAGCACCATGGTAATTCTGTGTGGGATCAGCCAAGAGCCAGAAGGAGGAGGAGGGAACACAGAGGGGAAGGAACAGGCCCTTCATTTGGCTGTGAAACTGCAAACAGAAGTGGTAGTTCCAGACTCTTCCTCCCACCCAGCATGAGATCGCACTCCTACTTCTGTGCTAATGTGAGGGCTAGCACAGCTCACAGCCAGCCTGCTCACAGAGCTTCTCATTTGCTGGATTCCTTTTGAGGCTATCAAAACCCAAACCTACAGGAGCACTTGATCTAACACCTTGCTGAGAGAGACAGTGTCAAATCTCTTACTCCCCCCATCGCCTCTCTTGTCCCCCTGACTGCTGGCTGGACTCAGTGGCAGAGACCACAGCCCAGGCAAAACAGGCACCAGTTTTTGCATTAGTGAGTTGAAGAGGATGACCACATGGCCAGGAGCTGTAGTGGAACGACCAGGACCCCAGGCATCCACCAGCACTGAAGGTGGGAGTTGGACTTCATCCTTCCAACATTGCCACTAAGTGATTTCTGTCCTGTTAGGAGCTGCCCATTAAATCTCTCACTGCCTGCCATTACATCCCCTACCGAGCTGTTTAAGGACTCATATCCATACCCTAAATTAGCACATCTTACTAAATGTATACAGGCAAGGCACAGACCTACAGCATTAGGTCCATCTCCCCAGCAGATTATCTTATTATTATTTGTCTCCTCTATTTGCAGATCTAGTAATGTATGTTAGCCCTTTCTGCCTCTTACTGTCTACAACCATCTACCTTCCCTCACATTTCTAACCACATCTGCTATTTCCTTTTCACCTCCCAGATGGGGATTTTCAGCATAAAACTCCCCCACATAGGTGTGGCTGGCATTTTTTGCTCCTGGGCGCACACTTGTATTGTCACCTGCATTAATGTGCACTTTGCTCAACTGTCTCAGTTTGCCTAAATGATCTAAACTATTTTTTTTATGTCACAATTTATTCCTCCACTAATATTTGTTCTGACCACACTGTTACAACCTCTTGCATGTGTTTCTGGACTGCAGCGAGCTGATCTCAACCAGAAATACTTTTCTGCTTTCTATGATTACAACCAGTTCTTAATCCAATTAAGCGCTACTTCATTAAATTCAAATATTCTTCTTAAAACCAAAATACCCCATGCTACCAAGTTAAAGATGTTATAAAAGTCTGTTGCACCTAGACAAAACCCCTAGCAACCAAATTTCACTTATCCAAATGACAGAATCACATTTGGGCAGACCTGTTTTCACAAACTGAAAAGCTGATCAGCGTGATTGTACTGTTCTTATACCACCTAAATTCTTGATCAAATTTTCCATAGGGGTTTTTTCCTGGAACTGACAGCAGATGAACCACTCTTTACTCACTCACCCTTTGTCAGCAGTGATGCAAAATGTTATTGGTCTTTCGCTCTTCTGAAGTCTCCCTGCTGTTCCCAGATTTATTAAAACTACTCTCAGTCAGACTGCTAGAGACTTCATCAAATGACTTAAAATTCCCCTCCTGACCGCAGCCTCCCTTATGAATTTTCTAAATATATCTTATTTCTTTATTAGTTACCATCTACTACCCATTTTCTCTACCCATTATATGCACCTTTTATTTTTAAACCCTATGTCCCTTCACAGCAAGAAACTAGCAACTGTCAAGAGAACTAAACTGGAGAACAGAAAAAAAGTAATTTTCAGGACCCTTTTTATAAGCATTAAGTAATTCCTGGGATTTATGAATGTATATACATACGTATTAAGCACAAATTATAATCAGCCATCAAGTACCTTTTTTTTCCCAATACAGTTTATTTTTGTGGCAGGGAAGAGGACAAAAAGGATTATTTCAGTTCACTCCTAAATACATTCTGGCTTAACTAAGTACTTGGAGTTCCCAATGCCATTTCATATATTTAGGAGATCACCTGTTTACATGTGCAAGTGTGTGAATCCTATATATAGATTAACAGATGTCCCAAGCACCAATCCAAGGCTGTTGAACATGGAGCTCAGCCAAAGGTCTAGAATGACCAGAGAAATTCAAAGCTACTCTAAGACAGACTGAAGTGCAAGTCCTTCAGTCACTAATGGACAATCTTCTGTCTCCTTTATCCCTGTACTTAAGCTGTAATTAGTTTTCAAATTAAGAATAAATCAGGTAATATAAAGAGTGGTGTGTAACTGCTGGCTAGAAAATAAGTTCCAAACTGGTGCCCTTCTACTATATGCAATACATTTTGGGATTTCAATGCTTGTCAGATTTTCCCACTCAAAGCTGGGCATAATTTATTTATTTCACAAGCATGAAATGTTCCCAATTAAATTTTGAACAATGTTTTCATATAACTAATGGACCGTTCCAAGAATTAGTAAAACATTCCTGAGAAATCTGGGAGCTAGGATAGAGGACCACTGCCAGCAGTTTAAGAGGAGTAGAGAACTGTGGTGGCGGGAGATGCATTAAATGACAAATAATATTGTGATACAGCTACTACCAACAGTTACCCTATTAGTAAAATACAGCATGTCATGATTGCTTTGTGCTCATCTTAGCATAAAACTTTCTCAACAAGGAACCCACAGGCAAATTCCAGGACCAGCCACTCATGGCTAGTAGCAGCTCAGCTTTATCAGCATATAATTAATATACAGAGCCTGAACCCACAGGGGTGCTTTCAGAAAAGCTACAACTGGTGGTAGTTCAGGGTTGCATCAGTAGTAAGCAGAAGCAAGAACAAATATCTACGATGAGCTAAGTTATTTTTTGCAGCTCATCACCTGAATCTGCAGCAGCGTGCCTTCCTTTCTATTTCTAAACCACACTGCATTTAGTAGTGCAGCTAGAACTACTGCAGAAACTAGACTGCAGATTCTGCACCTCAGCATTTCAACAGTGAAAAATAAAATTAAAAACTCTTCAAAGACTGTCTCACATACCAGGACAGGTTTGTGATAATAAATTATTAAAATATTCTGCATTTCCTGTTTTTTAAAAGCCAGTAAGAAGAAGCACATGGCTGAGAACTGCAGCTTGTGGTGAGACCTTGTGCATGATATACTGAAGACTTACTGCTAAAGGGAGTCTGTGCTCACATTTCTACAAAACCTTTCCTGCTAAAGAATCCCAAGCGATACTTAAGGTCACCCAACCAAGGTAATGATTAAGCACAGCCATATGGTGGATTACAACTGGGACAGCACGAGCAGCAGTGCAGATCAGGAAGGAAGGAAGGCTGCTAGAGCCAAATAAAACCCTACAGAGGGACTGAGGGAGGCAGAACTCCCAGGAATTTGGGCTGAGATACCCATGCAAAAAGGGAGAGTGCAAGACAAACTGCCTATTAACAAGAAAGTCTG